CGTGGTGTCGCATTAAATCAAAACATGCCGTTTTTTTTTTTTTTTTTTTTTTTTTTTTTTTTGTCCCAGAAAGAATGTAGCCAGCTACCTTCATCTGTATTCGGCACTTCAGGTCTCTGTGTGTCTGTGCTTACGGTGTCAGTTGTGAGATGCTGGGAAGGACGCTGGACTTCTGAAGAGGGAGCCTGTTCTTGCCCTAACCATGCCATTTAGGAGCTACATGACCTTGGGCAAGTCGGTGCGTCTCTCTGGGCCCATTTTCTAATCCGAAGAACGTGCATGGCATTATCTGTCGTGTATATCAAACTGGTCTGTGTCAGGCACAGTGCCTGATGGTGCCTAGGGGGCTGAGCTTTCATGAGACTCTATCAAGAGGGGATGAAGGTTTTCTGTTGTATTATTATCATTCCATTTTACAGATTAGGTGACTGACAGGGAAAGCACCTTGTGGGAGGTCACAATACCAGCAGCAAAGCTGACTACACTCATCTTTCTAGACACTGCTCTGCACCTCCCCACATGCACAGATGTGTGCGCAGGAAACCGTGACCGCAGCAGTGCGTGTTGCATGTGCCCCGTCGATTTCCATTGCTGAGGAGACAAGACTGACAGGATTCTTAAAACACAGAGGGATGGAAGGGTCCAAAGTGACATATGAAGAAGGGCTGTGGCCAAGATGGCATTGCAAAGGCAAAATGGTGCAGAGTGGTGTAGAGAGGATCCCAGAGGCTGATCAGCAGCAAAGCAAAGGTGTGGAAGTGGGAATGACACTGGCACGTCAGGGTCTAGAGACCCCCTTGAGAGCAGGAAGAGTCAAGGTCAGAAAGCCTGGCTGAGCTTGGGGCACCATGAAGGGACAAGGTGAGGTGGAATGTTGGGTAATCGTCATTCTATATGTACTACTTTGTGCAATGTCTCGACGGACCTCTGAGGTAGGTCCTATTACTACCCTCATTTTATGGATGGGAAGCCGAGATCCAGAGACAGGAGTGAGTACCTGACCCTACATCACTCGGCTAATAAATTAAAACTCGAACCTGAGTCTAGCTGACCCCACAGCCCATGACCCTAATCACCTGGAAGACCCTCTGAGATCTTTGGAGATAAAAAAAAAAAGAAAGAAAAAACCTAGATGAACAGGGACAGGGTGGGCAGAGTGGGCTGCAGCTCCCACCTACCCTGGGCTGGGACTCACCCTCATTCTCGAGCTTCCTCTTCTCCAGCTCTGCCTCGATCTGGTCCAGCACCATGGCCAGCTCCCCTAGGATCTTCTTCAAGTAGCTCACGTCATCGTGCTCCAAGATCTTGGCCTAAGGGCAGGACAGGCAGGACCCGAGAAACTCAGTTGTCCTCAGCAGAGCCAGGATGTCCAGATACTTCTGCAAGCCCAGCCCCCAAGCATCCCCAAGTGTAGGGTGCCCTACTATTACAAAGCCCTTCATTTGGAGCTTAGAGCAGCCCCACGAGCTTGACTGGCCTGTGCAGGTGCCTTTCGTGGGGCTGGTGCACTCATACACCCAGCTGCTGCGGGACTAGTTGCTGGCAGCTTGGCTCAGAAAGACTTGGGAGGTTATTCACACTCCCCCACCAAGCATCCGTAGTCAATGAAGCACTGATAAGGGGGTCTAAAGGCTGGCCCCTTGCCTCAAGGCAGACCAACTTTGTGAAGCTTCCTGTGGGACCACATGAGGCTTGGCCACATCGTCCTTTCTCTCCCTCCCATCCTTACTGGGTTCTCAGAACACTCCTTCAACACCTCCAAACCCAACAGCCTATCGGTTCACTGCCCTGCTTTCAGGGACACAAATTATGACATGAAGAAACTGAGGCCCCACCCCCAGGGTAGCTTGCCCAAGTTCAAACAGCCAGTAACTGGCAGAGGAGACAGGATTGGGGCAGCCAGCCAGTGGTTCTTCCATTTCGTGTCATCATGATCTTAGAGCCAGCTTCTCCTGGTCATCCCACTCCATGGAAGAGATAGTGGGAAAGAAATAATCCATGCCCGGAGCGCTCACCATGAGCTTCTTCTGTTTGGAAAGGTAGGGCTCGGAGAGCTGGGGTTCCTCTTCATGGTCCAATTTCATGAGGTCTGTGGTGGCGTTGGCTAAATGTCCTAAGTGGGGAGAGAGTAGAAAAGGTCCCATCCCTCTAACACCTGCTGCCTCCCCCACCCTCCCCTCACACAACTGAAGCAGGTTTCCCCAACACTGGTTGGGGGTAACAATACTGACAGTTAACACTCAGGAAGCCCCAGGGCCTGTGACGTGGGGTAGATGAGGCACTGCCCTGCCCTAGGCTCATGCTGGTGGGAGAAACCCACACACACCAAGAACTCAGGGCAGAACGTGATCTGTAATGAAGGTGAGCAGATGCTGGGGGCCCAGAGGGCTGCCTGCCCAGGACACGATGGTCAGGACATTTCATCAAAGAGGAGAAATTTCCCTTGGGAATGAGTAGGAGACATCAGAAAGGGACAGAACCCCAACTCTGGACCTCATCACTGTCCCTGCTTCACGTGCGCCTCCCCTGGCTTCTCCCCAGGCTGTGGCGTCCCTTTCCCATGCTAAGCCAAGCCAGGTGCCTACAGCTGTCCCCAGCTCTGCCCTGGGTCCCTTCCCACATTCAATCTGCCCCAGGTCTTGTGTATTCTTCCTTCTTCATATCTCTCACTTTTAACCTCCCCCCTCAACCTAGTAGTTGAGACCCCATTAAATTCTCACCTGGATTATTCCATTAGTCCTGCTATTCCATTAGCCCTGCCCCCCACCCAAGCCCTTCTCTCACCTCAAGCACAGACGTGCTCGTGCCACTCATTGTTTAGAACCATCCCTGGCTCCCCATTGCTTTCAGATGATGTCCGGGGTCCTCAGCTTGCCTTAAAGGAGCCTGCAGGATCCAGCCCTTCTCCCTCTCACTTACTCCACCTTCCACTGAGAGAACCCAGTTGTCCCTGTCCCCAGGTGGTACATTTCAGCCACTCTGAGCACTTGCTATTTCCCGAGTGCACCAGACCACTCCAAACCTCCAGCTCTTGTTTACACTACTTCCTTCTGGGATTGCCTTATCCTCTATTCTTAAAAACCTCTTTCTAGATGCAGTTGAAGATCACCCCCTCCTTGAACCCCTTCCTGATTCTTTTGGAGATCTGACCACTCAACGTCTTCATTCCCCAGTGTAAGCACTGTAGACTTCTGACGAAGAATGCAAACCCACCGTTCAGAGCTGCCATCCCACGAGTCCTTTAACCTTGTCGTGTGTGAAGAGGGTCCCCCTGGAGTTGTGCAGTGCCCAGCATGAACTACTTGCTGTCCATGGTCCGTTTGACACCAATGCGGTTATCTCTGGTCCTACGTGTCTCCCACCAGAATTTGAGCTTCCGGAGAGCAGTGACTGTGTCAGCGTCATTTCTATGCCTTTGTAACTCAGCACGGGCTCGGCACAGAGCAGAGGCTCAGTGAGTGTTGAAAGGATGAATGAATGAATGGGTGAACAAGCGACTGTAGCTGTTAAGCTTCTGTCCTCTGAGGTTTCACCATCCACCTCCTCTCCTGGCCTGAGTAAACACACTCCCAGCTCTTTCAGCTTCAGGGCTATATTAGGCTCGTTGATGTTTGATGAATGTGAAGGTCAAGTGCAACATCTCTCTTGCCGGTCACCTGAGGCTGCCCATGTAGCTCTCTTTAGACTCCAGGAGGGCAGGCCAGGCCAAGAGAAGACCTAGATCGTGGGGTCAGAGGATTCCGTTTCTGCTGAATTTTGATTCTGCCTCTTCTGCACCCCATGAGGTCCCTGCCTCTGCCTCCTGCTGGGCTAGAGCCCTGAAACGCTCTCTGCCTCTCGAAGGAGGGAGATGGCTGGGTTTTCTCTGGACTCCCGCTGCCTTCTAGGTACATTCAAATGACTCAAGACATGACTGGGAGAGCAGCTCCAGGCCCCAGAAGCACCCTGGGCTACCCCACCACCAGGCTAGGCCATGGTCATGGCTCACTTAGCTAATGGCCAGGGCCTCCTGAGTGCCTGTCCACTCTTCCCTTGCAGTGCCCAGCATGAACTACTTGCTGTCCATGGTCCGTTTGACACCAATGCGGTTATCTCTGGTCCTACGTGTCTCCCACCAGAATTTGAGCTTCCGGAGAGCAGTGACTGTGTCAGCGTCATTTCTATGCCTTTGTAACTCAGCACGGGCTCGGCACAGAGCAGAGGCTCAGTGAGTGTTGAAAGGATGAATGAATGAATGGGTGAACAAGCGACTGTAGCTGTTAAGCTTCTGTCCTCTGAGGTTTCACCATCCACCTCCTCTCCTGGCCTGAGTAAACACACTCCCAGCTCTTTCAGCTTCAGGGCTATATTAGGCTCGTTGATGTTTGATGAATGTGAAGGTCAAGTGCAACATCTCTCTTGCCGGTCACCTGAGGCTGCCCATGTAGCTCTCTTTAGACTCCAGGAGGGCAGGCCAGGCCAAGAGAAGACCTAGATCATGGGGTCAGAGGATTCCATTTCTGCTGAATTTTGTTGATTCTGCCTCTTCTGCACCCCATGAGGTCCCTGCCTCTGCCTCCTGCTGGGCTAGAGCCCTGAAACGCTCTCTGCCTCTCGAAGGAGGGAGATGGCTGGGTTTTCTCTGGACTCCCGCTGCCTTCTAGGTACATTCAAATGACTCAAGACATGACTGGGAGAGCAGCTCCAGGCCCCAGAAGCACCCTGGGCTACCCCACCACCAGGCTAGGCCATGGTCATGGCTCACTTAGCTAATGGCCAGGGCCTCCTGAGTGCCTGTCCACTCTTCCCTGGGGGGCATGATCTTTGTAGAAGGCAGGTCTGATTACTGTCTCTCTCGTGGCCTTTTTTTGGCAGACCTACTCCCACTGTCACCCCTGGGGTGACACTTCAACCACACTGAATTTCCTTTGCTTCCTCAAACACACCATGCCCTGTCCTATTCCAGAACCTGAAATGATTCTTTCTCTCCATCCTCATCCTTGGTTGTGGCTGCGTTTTGGAAGCCTTCTGTGACCCGAGAGGCCTCTACAGTCCCTCAGCCTCCATGTTGCCATGGCCAAAACACTGATTGGTAATAGATTTAAAAATTTTAAATTAACTTAAACATATTACACATGCATACTTATGAAAAATTCAAAGAATATTAAAGGGTGCACAGTGCAAGTCTTTCTCCTCTCCATCTGCAGTCCCTTAGTTCTGCTCCCCAAGGCCAGCACTAGAGGCGGCTTCTTGTGCATCCTTCCGGAATTACCCCTTGCATCGCAAGCGTCTGTAATCCATTTACCCCGCTTTGAAGCACATTCATGATAGCATAGGAGATGGTTTTCTTCCCTTGTCACATTTTTCCACTCACTAATATATCTTGGAGAACACCCCATATGCCTGGAACTTTCTAAAACATCTGGTTAGTATTCCATCTTGTGGAAGTGCCATAATTTATTTACCTGTCCCCATCTCATGCTCATCTCTGGGTTATTTCCAGAGATATTTCTTGCGGTTGCTAACTGTGCTGCAGTCAATATCTTTGTACATGTTCTTGGTGGACACATCCAAGTGTCGACTGCAGGATGATCTGCAGGGTCTGGGTGTTTGTAGCTGGTTGCCAGACTGCCCTCCTGAGAGGCTGTTCAAATGTACTTAATCCTGCACTGTAACTGCCTGGTTTCGTGTCTGCTCCTGCGGAACCATGACCCTGGGATGGCAGAAGCTATGTCTATCCCTATCTGCCCCCAGCTCCTTGCCCAGGGCCTCAGAAATATTTTGAATGGGAACCAGACAGTCTAGATAAGTCCTGAGTCTTATTCTAGGGGGCTAGCAAGGGACAGGACTGAGTTCCACAGTCTGATCTTCCTGCCTTTGAACCTCAGCCTCATTTCTGTGAGACGGTGGAAGTAGCCATTTATTGAGCAACTACTGTCACCCAAGGAGCTGGGTGTTGGTTATGGTGGGGACATCCAGGCTGGTGGTTTAGGACGGTACAAGAGCAACCTTGAACCAGAAATCAGACACTTCACTGGAGTGAAGTGGTCTTGCTACATCTGGGCTGCCTTCCTTGGTGACCCCAACCCTGAGGTCACTCGGTGCCCTTGCTTGCCAACCATAGCACTGACTGTCCCAGCTCCTCCTCAAGCCTTCCCCTGCTGTGGGAACTCCTGTGGAGTGGTTCCCCAGATCCCTGTGGACAAACGATCCTTGCAGGGCAGGCAGCCCTATAGCTTCTGTATGGGATAGTGGGACAAGAGCAGGGTGCAGGGGAGAGGAATGTGAGGGACAGGAGAGAAGTGGAGAGGCATTCATTAGAAACATGCTGGCTAAGATAAAAGGGAGGAGTTGGAGGGAAGAAAGCAAGCAAGTGGCAGGGGGAGAAAGAGAGAAAAAAAGATGGAGCAAGAGGTGCCAGAATGGGAGAAAGACTAGCAGAGTCAGAGACATTAGCCCAGGGACAGAGAGAGGCAGGGAGAGGGAGAAGGCGAGAGGGAGAGGAAGAAGAGAGACCCCAGGGTGGGAGGAAGAGGTGTGGGAAGGGGAGGGGGCTACAAAGGCCAGTAGCGAGGGGCTCGTGGAGCGCCCTGGCACTCACTGCGGATCTCAGCCGTGGCGTACTTGGGGATCATGGAGTCGGTGGTGAGCTCGGGGTGCAGGATGCAGCCGTGTGTGTAGGCGTCCATGGGCAGCGCGTCCAGCAGCTCGCGGTACTGCAGCACCCGTGCGTGCTGCGGGCTGCCTGCCTCGGGCATCAGGGCCACCACATGCTCTGCAGGGCACCGGCAGGGGCTGGACCAAGTCCGCAATGGGCCCTGCCTCAGCTCCCCACCCCCAGCCTCCCAGAACCCCGAGACATTGTGACCCAGAGGTGCCAGGCTTACCCCTTCCCGGGCCCACCTCCTTCCCAGGCCTTGGCTGACAGGGGGTCCTTGTGGTCAGGGCGGCTCCCTCTCTTCACCCGGCTCTGCCAGGCCGTCCTGCTGAGGGGCAGCCCCTCTCAACTTCAGACGTGTGCCAGGCGGAGGTTGGAGGCCCAGTTCCAAGGGAAGCTGGAGGCCTGCATGTCTAAAACTTAGGTCTCTTTGATGTTTACCCGTTGGCCGCTACAGCCCTAAGCTGCCAGGGACGTTTATGTCAATGACGCATCACCTAAGGGACGGTGGTCCCATACGATGATGTGTATTGCCCAGGGATGGCATAGCACAATGTCCTGCTCACGCGCATGTGCTGACGCTCACATGGGTGTGAGGACGCCGATGTGAGCCTGCCACGCTGCCAGTCACACAGCGCACCCGTCGTGCACGGCGCACATCCCTGGCCCACGATCCAGAAGTGACTGTTGCCGGTTTCTGTATTTACCAGACTGCTCTGGATGGTGGCTTTAGAGTGTGCTCCTTCTTATAGGAAAGTTTACCATGAAATGACAGCGTGCAGTCACAGCGGTGGCCGCAGCCTCATCTTGTCGCCTGCACCTCTGGACACCTCCTCTTTTCTCGGGCGTGCCACCCTCTCGTGTTGTGTTGTGAGTGTGGAGGGAAGTACTGGACCCTCTGGGATGTGCTGCACCCACAGGATCGCCAACCGGCATTTCTCGGGTATCGTGTGGTGAAGCAGCGTGAGACTAATCTGTACTCTGTCTACACAGCACATGCCTGGGCCCTGAATCCCTTTCAGCGGCTGTCTGGGCCCCTGAGGAAGAACACAGGGTTCTGAGGGCTTCTGGGGAGTCTGTGGCCTTAACTGTGTTGCCCAGATCTCGGGGGTTCGGGTCCTGCCCGTGCCCTGGGACCCTGTCTGTGGGGACCCGAGGGACTCCCGAGGACCCTTGGCTGTGCCTGCAGCTCTGTAGTGTTTGGGGAGCTGGGAGTCCTGTGGCTCCTTCTGGGGAGGTGTGCCTTGCCCAGGGCCCCGGTAGATTTCTCAGGCTTCCCCAGGTCCAGGACCCATCAGGGCCTGTGGGCCGTGGGGTCCGTGTCCCTGTGCAGGCCGGCTGGGGTGGTAGCCTACCTCCTGTGAAGGTGCGCTCCACGTAGTCGATGATCTGGTCGTAGTCACTGATGATGTTGTCGCGGTGGATGATGACGGGCACCTCCTCGCCCAGGTTGAGCCGCATGAACCATGGCTCCTTGTGCTCGCTCTGGGGCAGGCTCACGTCCCGCTCCTCGCAGGCCAGGCCCTTCTCGGCGATCACCAGCCGCACCTGCAGGCGCCAGGGTCAGAGCGGGGAAGGCGGGCAGACACAGGGGACACTCTGCCCGGGGTGGGGCGGGGCGTGCAGGGAGGGAGGTCAGGGTCACACACAGGAGGGGACACTTGCTTTCAGCCCATGCTTGGACACCTGGGGTCGGGGGTATATCTCCCAGGGGCATGTGCTTGTGGTGGGAGGAACACAGCCTACTCTGAGGACCAGGGCTAGAGTGGCCTGGTGGCTTCAGAGCTAGGTTTGGGATGGGCTTTCTGGCTGTGTCAGTGTGGGCGGGTCCCTTAAACTTCCTGGGATTTGCAAAATGGGACTGTTCACAGTTCCAGCCCACTGTCTGGTACATAGGGGCACTCAGTCCACGATTGTCACTGGCATGAACAGACACTCAGCCTGGCGTTAGCGGTGGACTTGGCCAGGGAGTTCACAGAAATTCAAATCATCATAATCAATAACTAAATGTCTTAAATCATTTGAGAAACAGAGTGACATGAGTAACAATTTGCCAATATCAGTTGGACCCTTTTTGCCCCCTAATTAGTTGCTCAGAATACAGAATAGCCTCCCAGAGAGGGCAGAATAAAATAGGTATCTCCCTGTGTTTGGGGTTTTTTTTAAGCTTATTTAGTCAATGAGTAAGAGAGACAGAGATAAAGAGAGACAGAGATACAGTGTCCTGACACCATGGTCCACCCCAGCCTCAGCCAGCCCAGATCATGGGCTCACATGCTTAGCATGCTCCAGGAGGTCTCCACACACAAAATGGCAGCCTCCCCTCATGGATCCGTCTTGCAGAGCATCGTGGTTTATAACTGTGCCACCATTCGGCCCATCTCCCTGTTTTTCTTGATGAAAAAACTAAAGCTCTGAGAGGGCAAGTAACTTACCTAAAGTCACACAGCAATATAGCGGTAGACTTAAAACTGAAAGCAACGGGGCCTGACTTCCAGACTAGTGCTGTCTGTCCTGAGGGCTTCTTCCAGGGAGCCTTGGGCCTGCCTCTTCTGAATCTTTCCTTATATCTCCAGGGAATTCCAAACAGCTGAGCTGGTAGAAGCTAAGAGAGCCTGGCGCCCAGGCAGGCATCTAACCCAGCCCTAAATTGCTGAACTAGAAAACGGTTAAAGACCCCCAGTCCTTTGCCCTCTGCCTGTGGACTGAGACTCAAGGCAGGATGGCATATCCGAAGTCCCTCCAAGAGGATGGCGAGGGACTCTTCCTGACGCTCCTCCCCACCTATGGCTCCAGGTCCTAGGAGAGAGGGCATCTCTGAGAGAGGCAAAGGCCTGCTCTGAGCACCAGTGTGCCCACGCACACCAGAGGTGGTAGCCCTGGGACTGGGCATCCCCAACCTCCCTCCTGCACCCAGGACGGCGGTGTAGTGTCCTTGGCAGGATTTGGGCTGTGGCCATTCCAGCGCTGGCACTTATGTGCCGGGCAACTTGGCTTCACAAGTGGCTTTACTTCTGGTTCCTCAGTTCCCCTTGTGACAGCAAGCCCCTCAGAGACTGTCGTGGGGATAAAACACATTAGGCCCTGTACTCCGATGCCTGGCACGCGGCAGGGGTGGGGTGTCTTACTGCTTGTCTTAGACAGGGTGGCAGGTAGACCTGGCCTCGAAGCCTCCCTCTACTGCGTGTGTGCTGAAGGACCCCGGGCGAGTCACTGAGCTCTCCGATCTCTAGTTGTGAAATGAGAAGTATCAGCTACTCCTTCGCAGCTGGTGTGAGGCTGAGATGGGTGATGTGGCTAGAGTCCCAGCCTAGGAGGTTAGTAAGTGGCTTCTAGCATCACTGTTATCACACACACACACACACACACACACACACACACACACACACACAGACTGCCCACACCGCTGGTGAGTGTCGCATAGTACTCCATGTCTCACCCTCAGAGCTGTGGGGTGGACTGTGGGGGAGATCCCTGAGCACCAGCCCTCACTCACAGGTCCATTAGCTCCATGGCCCACAAGCGGCTCATACAGGTGGGACCCACGGTGCAGGCGGAGTCCCTGGGCTGGGAGATAGGGACCCAGGTTCTCATCTGGACTTGCTGCAGCAGTGCTATGTGACCTCAGAGCTATCGCTGCCCTTTCTGAGCCTCCTTATCCTCCTCAGCAAAGCGAGGGGCCCAGACTATGTTCAGGGAGCCCTGCAGTCCCACTGTGAGCTGACACTGTAGTCAGGCCAGACAGGAGACGGCTGTCTCCACCTACCTCCTAGCCCGGGGAGGAAACTGCTGGGTCTGGAGAAAGGGAGGCGTGCTGCAGAAAGCGAGTGGCCTTGGGTGGCATCGGCTTGGGTCTGAGTGTGTGTAGGAGCGAGTAAGTGTGTGTGGGTATTTCTGGATGAGAGTACAAGTGATGTGGGTACTCACAGATTCTGTGTGTGCCTTTATGTGTGAGTGTGCCTTTGAGAGCGTGTGTGTACGTGTATGCTTGAGCCCACAGGTGGTGGAGAAGCCCAGGAGGAGCAGCCCTGTGATGGCCCTTGAGAACAGGCAAGGCTGGGGTGTGGAGCAAGACTACCCACTCTCCTAGTCCTGCCTGCCCTGCATCCTTCAGCCTTAGCCTCAGGTTTCTCCTGGCCACCCTGCCCTGACCAAGTGGGGACCTCAGAGCGGGCAGAAAGCAAGACCAAACCAGACCTCTGCCCCTGGCCAGTCCAGACACAGAGTCCTCCATCCTGGCAGGGCACCTTGTCTCAGGGACCACTTCCCAGGCTCTGCCCTGGGGTTCCCGCGAGGGCGGCAGGGCTGGCTGTTAGCTGGAAGGGGACTCTCTTTAGAGGCAATAATCCTGCCTGGAGCTGCCTCAGGGTCACTCTGGCAGGAGACTTTCACCTTTAGCTGAGCTGCAGGTCAGAGCCAGGTGCCATGCTGTGGGGGAAGGGGACTCCAAGAGGAAGCAGGCCCAAGGAAGGGCATGCAGCCACCAAGGCCATCTGCCATCTCTGCCTCCGGGAGTCTGGACCAGACTTAGGTGGGCCCCACTCAGCGAGGGTAAACATCAGCTGTCTCTGGGCAAACTACCTTCCCTGCAGATGCCCAAAGACCGCCAACTGGTGCTACATTGCCGTGGGTTAGGCACTGTCCCTCCTCATCTGCTCCTCGCTTATGTAATGAGCTGAGTTAACATCTCTGCCTAGCCGTTTAATTGCTGTGTGACCTTATAAAAGACTCTTAGAGTCTCTGAGCATCGGTTTGCTTATCACAAATGTGTGTGTGTGTTTTAAAGAGAAGTTTTAGGTTTGCAGAACCAATTAATATTTTTTATTTTCCAGCAGGTATTGTGGTGGTTGGGGCACTGGAATCCCACATAGTGAACCGCAATTCTAGTCCCAGACCTGACAGCTTAAAAATTACAACAAATAAATAGATAAATAAATAAACAGTGGCCGGCAGGTGCTATGGTGGTTAAGATGCTAGACTCCTACGTAGTAAACCGCAGTTCAAGTCCCGGACCCGGTGGCTTGAAATTCGTGCTGGGCATGTGTGTTTGTGTGGCCAAAATCCTGAGAGGAAAATGGAGAAGGGATTGTGGCATGGCCATCTCCACTGGGGAGTGATTTCTCGCTTTCTGTCTCTTTGCTTAGTGCATGTGCCTTCTAGCAAAAATCTCTCAATAAATAAATAAACAAATAAATGAAAGTTAAAGAAAATGTGCTACAGGGCACATGTGCATGCTGTAGAGAGACAGAGAAGGGGAGGTGAGAAAGCACCCACCACGGGGCATTGTCGTGCTGCACACCTTCTCCATTTCTCTCTCTCTCTCTTTTTCCCCCCTAGGATGTTGGGCATGCACACATGTCCCATCAGGTCTAGGCCTTGAACTGTGTAGTTGGCCAGGTGGGATCCAGCTGCCTTAACCACCACGCGATGACTGGCCCTGAATACCTTTTGTAAATGTCACACCTTACAGCTTAGAAATTCACCACTTTTCAACACTTATTTATTGAGCACCTACTATGTGCCAGGTCTTGTTCTAGGTGTTAGAGGCTCAGTCATGAACCAAACAAAGATCCCTGCCCTCAGGGAACTGACATTCTAGTGGGGGCAGACCTACTATAACAAGCAGTTAAAATGATACTATATGTTGGGGCCAGGGGATGCAGTGGTCATGCAATGCAACCCACATGGGAAAGGTTCTGAGTTTACATCCTGGGACCTCCCTGAGCAAGCTAGACACTATGGCCCCTGCGAATAGAACTGGGGGTGTGCTGTGATGTGGGGAGCCTGCTGGAAGTGCTCATCTCTCTCTTGTTCTCTAACGTAGCAGAGAAGGGGAATCAGGGTGCCAGATCCACAAGGGCAGGCCTCTCCGAGAAGGTGATATTTAATCAAAGGCTTGACCAAGGTGAGGGATTGACCCACAGAGGGACTTGGGAAAAGAGTTCCGGCCAGAGGGAACAGCCAGTGCAAAGGCTCTAAGATGGAAGGCATGTCAGACCTGTTGGAAAAACAGCAAGGAAGCCAGAACAGGTGGGCAGGAAGAAAGGAGGAGGAGACAAGGTCACGGAGCATCAGGTGTAGGGCCTTTGAGTGGAGACTTCCAGGCCATGAATAAATTCAGGGAGTCCTTGAACTGAGATGGGAAAATTACATGTTTATTTTCAGCAATCTGAAAACTGACATTTAGCAGCTTCCTGGATGATGAATGTAGGCGATAAGGGATGGTAGTGCTAGCTTCACTTCACGGTTGTGGCAGTTACCCCAAAACATCGTGAGCGCTCATCACGGTTGCAACACGACGGCAATGGCCAGACCTGCCACTAGGCTGTTACATAACGGGGTAACACAGAAACAA